ATGAACTGTCACCCAGACTTGCCTTCCTCCTGTCACTCTTAAGTGGCGAAAGATGCAAAACAATTAATAAATTATTCATTGATCATATTGTAATTGAAGACTTCAAGGCTACTTTTGTTGTAACAGAAAAACTCAAACATTTGAGACATGGTACACACCATTAACATTTTTAGCCTACTTCGCCGATAGAAGATTATGAGCAGTCACTCATGTTTTGGAGTATTTAAAACGTACGGCCCCATTACGTGGGGCAAATAAACAACTTCTTATCAGTTTTATAAAGCCACACCGACCTGAAACTACTTCACATTGGGTTAAACGTTTTAAAACTGATGCTGGTATTGACGCATCTATTTATACAAGTCATAGTACAAGGCGGCTTTAGCTTCTCATCCTGCTTCAAAAAACCTTAGATATTAGAAAAAACCAACAGCAAATCCTTTTTTTACATTTTTCTATCGCCAAGAAGCAAAAAACGTCGTCCGCCGAAAAAAACACGAGATAACTCAGGGGGGAGTTTGACAAATTTTAGATGTATTTTGGCCTCAGCTAATCATGGGAAAAAACTATAATAGTTAACGTTCTACATGTATTTACTTCAATAGCTCGGACAGAAATTCGGATGTCACCAAAAATTGCCATTATTGAAGATATTTAAGCTGAAAAAAGTAGTTAACATTACGTAGAGCGAACATAAAAGATGTTTATTCAGGGACTATACTTCTTGTTTTTCTAATAAAAAAATTTGGGTGATATGCACTTTAACATTTTTATGCCTGTCTTACCGAGAAGTTTCTACAATATAACGTCAATACCCTAATTATCATATTTTTGTACCTTAATTCCGAGTGGGTGGTTTCAGGTTTTCTTCATAATCGCTCCAGTCTCCAGTCGAATAGAAATAAGCGTGACACAAAGTGTATATAAATGCTGCTTCATCAGAAAGAAGACTTACTTAGAAAGCCATTTTATTGCTTTGCAAGGTAATTATTGACATTAGTGTTGTAGCTAATTGTTGTCTTTGTGGCATTATTGACACATGGTAAATTAATGCCTCTATGTATAAAATGCTTATATTATAAGGCATAGCTATTAGGATGCCTAACAACCGATCGAGTTAAGGACTCGAGATTGGGCTCAAATTTTGACTAGGACTTAATTCATTTATTTTTTATTTTGCGTAGCAAGGTCATAATGGGAATTAATCTGACTTTGGGCAACAAATACAAGCAATACTTGCATGCATGTAGTAAAGCGTCCGTTTGCGTTACATATTCATCAGGTGAGACATTTAAGGTAAATGCAATCGGCCATAATCGTCAAAGCCCAATCTTTGATGAATTAATATGCGGTTAAGAGCATAAGAAATATCTACTACAAACAATACGACCTGAACATCTTGAAACTTATTTGATATGACAAAGTTGGCTGCCATATAATTATACGGAATTAGCTTGAGCCCGATTGATCGCATTGGAAAACAAATTTTTGTACTCTTTACAAACCTTCGCTAAAAAGTTATGATGTAGTCAAAAATAAAAAGTTCAAGATATTATAACCAAGCAAGTTTCACCAGTTACCACCAACATCAGTTATATCTTGTCCATGAAGGATACAATGCACTTAAAGTTCGATATGTTGAACATGTATTTGTCGTGTTCTAAGTAATTTTTCGTATTATGTATTATATTGCTTGGTTCATTCCGATTAAAGTATTCTATTAGTGAAATAAAAGAAAGGCAGAAAGCCATTGAATTTATTTTTCCTGAACCTATAAATTATAAACATTTGTGTGAATTTACATAACGTCAAAACAAACACTGAACATCAACTTATGCGTATCATATACAGGCAATATTATTAAACACGTGTGCGATCATTTGCATTGTGCAAAGCTCTCGCTTTAAAAGATTGAACACACTGGTTGAAGATTATTTGTAATCGGCACGTAATTGTCAGAAAGAAAGTGCTTTTACAATTTAGTTAGAAAATGTAGCGACAAATCATACGGCCTCATACGATATTATACATTTTATTCTCAAATACGTCACAAACGATTTTGAAAGACAATGAACTTTTCATAATCTGGAATTTTTAATCAAAAACTAGTTTTCAGTCAAAATAATTATGAAATTGTCATTGCTTTAAATTATGTGAATAAATAAGGTCTTTTAGGAAAAGCAGAAACGATTTCAGACGACTGGCATAGAGTAAAAAGCACATTTTAAAAATCTTTGACATTACATAACATCCATAACATATTGCTTGCATTTACTTTATTATGATCAATGTGGCTCATTTGTACAAAATTTATACATTTCTATCATTAAAGTTTGTATTTTTAACGTAATTAACACAATTAAAATTTGTGTTTGCGAAAATAAATGACGATTGGAGCAGTACAAACTTACATGCGGGATGTTAAATTTTGCATCGCGCCACACGTCACACCGCTTTTTATAGGTGAGACGAGACGCTCATTCGTGCGCGTGTTCAAAAACAATATCCATTAAAACTTTTTTTGCGCGCGCTGATTTAAAAACCAGTCAAATATGGCAGCTTTAAAAAGGCTGTTGATGCCATTGAACTAAATATTACTGAAAAGCTAACTTCAGCCGGAAATTTGAAGCCGAAATCAAGCAATATTGTTTCCAGTCTTTCCATGCTAGTGATAAACCAGGCCAACACAAATAAGACAGCAAATCAATCGTTTTGTGTAAAAAAGCGGATTTAACAAACGGTGACAAATGCGGACGTTCTCAAAATTTTCTCGAGCTTCATTATTGTGAAGCTTGTCTAGGAGTCAGATCACGCAAAATTTTTGCTTTGTTTCCATAATATCAGAAGGTAGCCTTCCAGTTAGCTATATTTAGTTCAATGGATAATTTATACTGGTATTATTAAGACGGCAATTACAAATAAGGAAATACTGAAAACGATTTTGGTAAGGCAAATCTATTTAAATAGAAAAATCACAGGCAAATATCACACAATATTGTCTAACTGATCATCGTCATTCTTTTCTTTGACATCATGCTGTTGTTGGCAGTGATGTAGAACTAAATTTGTCAGGGGGGTCTCTCTTCACGAAACTGAAGACATGAAATTATAAAAATGCGTGACGTCGTCGCATGACATTGTCATGGATGTTCACAAGGTTTAACTGAAATGTCTCATAGATGGCAGATGATAACCCATAAATCTTACAAGTAACGACCACTACTTTGATCAATGTTTGAAATAGACTTACAACCAGTAATACTACACCATGCTTGACACAGCTCGTTAGATA